TTGGGAGAAGATGAAGAAGAGGATGAAAGGGCATTTCCTCCCTTTCGGCTATACTCAAACCTTGTTTCAGAGGCTCCATTCACTGAGGCAAGGCGCAAGATCAATCAATGATTATACTGAGGAATTCTATCAAGCGGTGGCTCGGAATGATTTATCTGAGACAGAAGAGCAGATGGTAGCACGGTATTTGGGGGGATTAAGGCAGCCCCTGCAGGATGTTCTCAGCCTTCATTCATTGTGGACGGTTTCTGAGGCATATTAGCGGGCACTTGCAGTGGAGAAACAACAGAGTAGGAGGCCGGTGGTCAAAGGTGAAGATAGTCAGCCAGTTCACCCTCAAGAATCTCGTCTTGCTTATCAGCCACAACGGGACAATTCCAGCTCAAGTATTAAGTGTTTCAGGTGTGGTGAACAGGGACATAGGGCGACTGATTGCAGGAAGCCTGCTGTTCAGAAGAAAAAAAACTTTTGATTGAGGAGGATATGATAGAGGAGTTCAAAGAAGTTGGGGAGCCTGTGTATGATGATGGTGAAGATGAGGACGTGCTATATGGAGATGGCCAGGAGACCCAGGTCTTTCGAAAGAGCCTGCTGACTCCCAAGGGCGATTCAGGGGACGATTGATTGAGGACCAACGTTTTTCACATAACCTGCACAGTCACTGATAAAGTCTGCAACTTGATAATTGATAGTGGCAGTTGTGAGAATGTAGTGTCTGAGGAGGCTATTGAAAAATTGCAACTGAAGATGGATCGTCATCCCAAACCATACAAATTGTCTTGGCCGAATAAAGGCAGTGAGGTAATGGTAGAAAAATGGTGCTTAGTGTCTTTTTCGATTGGAAAAAAATATTTTGATAATGCTTGGTGTGATGTGGTATCAATGGACGCGTGTCATGTTTTGTTGGGAGGACCTTGGCAGTATGATCGCAGCATTATCCATGATGGGCGGAATAATACTTATTCTCTTAGCATCAAGAGGAATAAAATTGTTTTGGCGCCTCGCAGGGAAAAAAACATCCCTGCCCCGGTAATTAATAACACCAATCTACTTTCTATGTCCAGGTTCTTGGTTGAGGTTGGGCGTGAAAAAATAATTTATGCTTTAATGCCTTGTGAAAATAGTGCAGCGAATGTGGATTCGAAATTACCAATAGAAGTGCAGCAACTACTGATGGAGTTTTCTGACTTGATGCCAGAGGATCTTCCTCCAGGATTACCACCTATGAGGGACATTCAACATCAGATCGACCTTATTTCGGGGTTGAGTCTACCAAACCGACCAGCGGATTGCCTCAGTCCCAAGGAAGCTGAAGAGTTGCAGCGACAGGCGGCAGAATTATTGGAAAGGGGGTACATTCATGAGAGTATGAGTCCTTGTGCGGTTCCTGCTCTACTAGTGCAGAAGAAAAATGGGTCGTGGCATATGTGTGTTGACAGCAGGGCAATTAACAGGATTACAGTGAAGTACATGTTTCCAATTCCTCGCCTGGATGACACGTTGGATTAATTGTCCGGTTCTAAGGTCTTCTCAAAAATTGACCTTAAAAGCGGATACCATCGGATCAGAATCAGGTCTGGAGATGAGTGGAAGACCACGTTCAAGACACAACATGGATTGTACGAGTGGATGGTCATGCACTTTGGACTATCCAACGCACCCAGCACTTTTACGAGGTTTATGCATCAAGTTTTTCGGCCTTTCATAGGGAGGTTTATGGTAGTCTATTTTGACGACATACTTATTTATGGTCCGACATGGGAGTCACATTTTAATCATCTTCGTGCTGTTTTTGATATAATGAGGACGGAGCGCTTATTCATCAATCAGAATAAGTGTTATTTCTTTACAAATTCTGTAACTTTTTTGGATTTTGTTGTGTCTACTGATGGTGTTCATGTAGATCAATCCAAAATTGAGGCAGTTTTGAATTGACCCAAGCTAAAAACTTTGCACGATGTCAGGAGTTTCCATAGATTGGCATCCTTCTATCGCTGGTTCATCAGAAACTTCAGTACCTTGATTGCTCCTATCACAGAGTGCCTTAAAGGGCGTGATTTTAGTGGACTGAGGAGACAGAGGCTAGCTTTCAGTTGGTTAAGCAGAAGATGACGGAGGCCCCAATTTTAGCACTTTCGGACTTTGTGAAGGTGTTCAAGGTAAACTGTAATGCGTCTAGAGTTGGTATTGTGGTGTTCTGAGTCAGAAGGGACGTCTAGTAGCCTTTTTCAGTGAGAAGTTATCGGGATCGAAGAAAAATTATTCCACTTATGACCTGGAGTTCTATGCCATAGTTCAGACTCTGAAGCATTGGCGTCATTACCTGGTCCAAAGGGAGTTCATCCTTGTACTGATCATGAGGCCTTGAAGTACATCAATGGTCAGCACAAGCTGAGTAGGCGACATGCAAAGTGGGTGGCGTACTTGCAGGACTTTACTTTCACACTAAGACATCAAGCAGGGAGTTTGAATTGAGTAGCAGATGCATTGAGCCGTCGCACATTACTCCTCACCACCACAAGCACCAAGATTGTCGGATTTAAGGCATTTCCTGATATGTATGCTGCAGATCCTTCATTTAGGACGATAATTCGGGAGGTAACTGATAATCACCGATATGATTTTGTTTTACATAACGGTTACTTGTTTCGTGGATTGCAGTTATGCATTCCGGATTGTTCGTAAGGCAGCAGATTATTAGTGAAGCAGTGATGTGGCGCATTATGTGGAGCGGTGTTATATATGTTGGCGGTCTAAAGGAACTCTTACTAATGTTGGATTGTACACGCCATTACCCGTACTTGAAGCTCTTTAGTTTGATGTCAGCATGGATTTTTTCTTGGGCTTATCTCGTACATAGCGAGCGATGGATTCCATTCTTGTTGTGGTTGACAAATTTTCAAAGATGAATCATTTTGTGGCTTCTCGGAAGACAATGGATGCCACTCGGATTGCCCATCTTTATTTCAGAGAGATTGTGCGTTTACATGGTGTTCTACAGTCAATTACTTCCGACCGTGACACTAGTTTATGAGTCATTTCTAGAGGAGTTTATGGGAGAAACTTGGAACGAAGTTGAATTTTAGCAGCGCATACCATCCCCAAACAGATGGTCAGACCAAGGTGGTGAATCGGAGTTTGGGAAATCTTTTGAGAAGCTTGGCAGGGACTAAACTGAAGCAGTGGAATTTGGCATTATCTCAAGCAGAGTTTGCTTATAACTGGTCGAGGAATAGAACCACCAGATTGAGTCCTTTTGAAATTGTCTATGGTCGGAACCCATTTGGGGTACTTGATTTAGCTTCAATTCCACGTGTGGGTCGCTTCAATAACAAAGCTGATGAGATGGCCGAACATCTTCGAGGTATCCATGAGCAGGTGAAGCTATCCATACATGATAGTAATACTAAGTACAAGGCTCAGACAGATAGTCATCGGTGCCAGGTGTTGTTTGATGTTGGTGATTTTGTTTGAGCAGTATTAACTCGTGATTGTTTTCCAGCTGGGGAGTACAATAAGCTAAAGGAGGGGAATATTGGACCTTGTGAAGTGTTGCAGAAGATCAATGATAATGCTTACAAGTTGCGCCTTCCTAGCCATTTGAAGACCTCTGACGTCTTCAATGTGAAACACCTAAGCCCTTGTTTTGTGGAGTTCGATGAAGCTATTGTGAACTCGAGGGCGAGTTCTTTCCAACCCGGGGTGATTGATGCAGAAGGATCCGAGTCGAGTGATGCTGATTTGTCAGATAGCATGATGATGATGACGCTGAGATACCATGAGATGGCAGATTGGCGCAAAGATGAGAAGTGAATCGCAATTATTTCCTTGATTGAGGGAATTTGACACGTCTTTGGTAATTTGGCCATAACTTTGGCTACGGTTATCAGAATTGCTATTATGACCCCAATCCGGAAAGTTCTCTTCGGCGCGCACATCATGGCCACCAAGTTATGCTTAGTGAGCGTCAATTTCGAGCCCAAAATCCACTATTTTCCTTTCCAAAATTTAATTTTTAGTTAATTTTTGTTATTTATGGTAATATTTCGTTTCTCTTTTTCCATATGTTAGAAAACTCGAATTGAGCCAAATTTTTGGCAACTTACTTCTTTTACTTAATATTTTATTCTGATGTAATTTCGAGATTTTGCCATTTTTAGTAATTTTTCTATATTTTCGTATTTTGCAGTTATTTAACCCGGCTTGTGCGTTAATTTTGGTTATTCTGCATTATTAATAATATTGAATTGATTTCAAAGTATTTTATCTAATTTTTGAGCGTTTTCTTTCGTTTCTTTCTTACGAATTATATAATACAATAAGTCAATAAGATAATCACTATCATATCCGACATCATAATACTATCCATCCCACACTCAAAAAAGTTTCTCTCATCCAACTTGAAGCAAATAGTGTGGCACACATCCCAGTGAAAACAACACTTTTAAGTTGTTTGGATATGCTTACAGCTTATAGCTTAAGAATAAAACATGTTTTGTGATTAAAATGTGCGAAGTCTGCACATGTATAGTAAACAACAAGATGAAACTTAGGAGCCATTTGAGCCCCATTATTTATAGATTATAATGAGATGAATAGTATTTTTAAAAAAATAAGTGGTTGAAAAGTTTTTGATTTACGTATAATATTATTTTATTGGAAATTGTGTGGTTAATAGTAGGAGAGAGAAAATTTTAATTTAATGTAATAAGAAATAATGAGGCTCAAACGGGGGCTTAGCACATATTTGCTTATCATTTTCAACTTTATATTTTATGAAAATCATATTTTTTATCGTCTTTTCAATTTAATCACATATTTTTTAAATATTACTCAAAATTTAATTTTTAGCTAAACAAAAAATGGGCTTATTTTCACAAATAACAATAATTTGTGGGACTGACCGCTAAAAAGTTGTGGGTTAAATAATAATTTGTGTTTTACACGAAATAATAATAATAATAATAATAATAATAATAATAATATTGCGTGCTAAACCTCGTAGTTCTGAAAGAATGTCGATTAAGTAAAAGGACTTCACAAGCGTCAAGCAAGTTGCATCTCACGACTGATTACTTCACGGAACCCTAATCGGCGACTTGTTGTATCTCGATCTTCAATTTATGATCGATAAATACTCGAATTCAAGCAAATTACAGTTGTAATTTATTCGTATCAGATTTCAATTTCCAGTTTACCGAACTCAATTTCCAATGTATAGACGTTTGATGATGACCGACGTGATGAGGGCCGCTGATGCTGCGGCGAGTCTTCGGTCGTACTCCGGACCTTCCTCCCTTGCCAACCTCCCTCTTGTTTCTGCCTTTCTCGCCTGTGCTGTCGCTCAGTTTCTCAAGCCCTTCACTACCTGGTACTCTTTCTTTCCTCTTGATCTTTCTGTTTACTTAATCATAAAATAAATGTTCAATATTTATGTGTGGGTAGGTCAATTTTATCACTGGATCTGCGTTGATTAAATTGTGAGTGTTAACAAATGACTAAGTGTTTAATTTGACCTCATTTGATCATATTTTGTGTTGTTGGGTCCCTATTTGAAGAAGTTTTGCTATAGATTAGCGTGTGTAAGCATCGAATTCTGCTCATTTTCACCAGCACACCTGCTTTAATTTTTCTGGAGAACAGAGTCGCGTGTCTATGCGGGTTTGTAAATCAAGAAATCAAAATTAACTATATGTTTGATATTGGAAGTCATGGATACAGAGACGTTAAGACTATGATTCTGTAATACCAAGTGATATTGCATTGCAGGTCGTGGTGCCTTGTAGTCAAATATGCCAGGTTTTGGAGCTATAATGGTGTTATGGAGCTATTGAAGTTTAATGACTGTTGAATAGCATAAGTATACGGTGTAATAACTGTTTGCCTATGGTTCATAGTATGTTTCATAAACTGCATATGAATTCATAACCATATAGTCTTCTATGTTTCGTTCATGAATCAGTCTTAAGTTAGATCTTACATTAGGATTCTTGAGCATAAATGAATAAATTCTCACTGTGATTTCTTGCTTAGTTTTTCAATTTATCCTTTTTGATATGCAGGTTAAAGGAGAATAAATGGGATTCTAGAAGGATGCTTAGCTCAGGTGGAATGCCATCATCACATTCTGCAACTGTTACTGCTCTTGCCACTGCAATTGGTTTACAAGATGGAGCTGGGGGGCCAGCATTCGCCATCGCATTGGTCTTGGCCTGTGTTGTATGTACTTTTTAAATGAGGTTTCTTCTATCCTTTTGCATTATCTGCTTGTTTTGACAGATAGCTGAAGCACTCAGATAGTGAGAAAGCTCGTGCCTCAATTTTTCTCTTCGTTTTTTTGGTTCTAATTTTGAATGGAATCAAATATATTGTGAAACCAAACACATAAGCGAATATTTTCTGATTGATGCAAACTTCATCATTATTATTTTTACCTCGGAAGATGGTTCATGGCTTCAACTGAACAGCATTTTAGAAAAAGTTCTTGCATGTTCAAACCTTGACCAATTCTTTCTCTGATAAAGAGATTGAAATTGTGCAATCTTCTTTCATGGAATGTTCCGTTCATCATTTGCCTTGACATTGTGAGAAACATTTCTAGAATACGAAGGCTTTAGTACACAAGTTTGTGGACATTTTAGTCTTAATTCTTCCTGCCATATTTATTTATTTAGTGTCAATCTTTTGGTCAACTATAACTTTTTGCTAATAATTTCAAGTTATTACAGGTAATGTATGATGCTACTGGCATCAGACTTCATGCTGGTCGACAAGCTGAAGTAAGATCTGATTCTGTAATCTAACATAATCATCCTTTATTTCAGTTTCCTTGGTATAGATTTGAAAAATAAGTGTTCCCTCTGGTTATATATTTTGACAAAAAGGTGAACCGGTGATAAATGAGATAAAAGGCAGTCTGTGTTTCCTTTGTTTGTCTGTAAGGAGATCTGTGGAGCCTCTGAGCACCTTATGTTGATCATTTTCTCTTTTAGATGTGGGATTGATTTGCACTTCATACTGCCTAAGTTCACATGGAATCTTTGTTTCAGAGATTTATATATATTTAGTTCATTAATCTTTGCCTGTTTTCATTTTCTCGAATGTGTTATCTTCTGATTTTTTATGCAGTTATTGAATCAAATTGTGTGTGAATTGCCTCCGGAGCATCCTGTTGCTAATGTTAAACCTCTTCGAGATTCACTTGGTCACACCCCACTTCAGGTATGATCACAAACAATATCAATTATATTAGGCTGTTCAATTAGATCACCTTATTGCGTTACTATACCGTAATGCTTGCTCTGAGACTAACTTAACAGTTCCAATTTTGTTTACTTATTTACTTGTATTCTGTTGAGTTTTAGTTCTATTGTGAATAAATAATCATCTTCGAATCTAGTATGATATATAGGTCAAATGCTCAATAACTTCAGGTCTAAGGTGAGCTGCACACTACACAAGTTCTCACTTGTGCTCAAAGCAACTATACACCCCTTCTCCTCGTGAATATCTTCTCGTTCTTTCTTTCCTGTCTAGTTACATTGCTTGTTCATTTGCTCTTCTCAGGTATTATTTAGATAAAGTGAATTGACAAGTAATTGATGGTAAAAGTTAATTGAGGCTTATCGGATCTTATTGAGGCTTACCGGATCTTCTTCCTTTTCACCGACTTTGTTGCCCGATAATAGTTTTGACTGATTAACCACAGGTTGCTAGTGGTGCTTTGCTGGGATGTCTGGTAGCATTGCTCATGGGAAGCTCAAGTTAAAGATTGGCAATTGATATACCAAACTGTTACGAGCTTTTTAGATTTCGATGAAGACAACAAAATTGCACATAATCTCCCAAAAGAAAACATGAATTCTGATTGCTTGAGAAGACTGTTCTTGATTTTTTCTACTTCTATGTAGGGTGTTGTGTTGATAAAGTCCTCCATCTCTGTATAAGATTATAAAACATTTCCTGGACACTGGATCGTATTGTGTCACTAATATTCTTATTTGAATGTTATCCGTCACCCACTTTTGCTGTTTGATTTTGTTGGTGTAAATTTCATTCGTGGTAACTATGCTTTCACTACTTTTGGAAAGGATTGTCTCGTCTTAGATTAGGAGCTTATTTGGTACAGCTTAAAAGACAATTAAAATCAATTTTTTGACCGTTATTTCATTATTTCAGTTGTCGTTTTTCAATTTTTCTCTCACAAGTAGGACTCACTTTATCTCTAACGATCAAAAAATCAATTATCAAAATTCCTACCAAACAAGCACTGGATTTGCATATTCGAAACCTACACCTTGTGTAGCCTTTGGTACTCTGTTCTGAGCTGTGTTGATTCACTTTTGAGAGTACAAGGGGCCCCCCAACGGTTGGTGCTGCAATTGGGTGCATATGCTCTTATTTATCCTATATATCCTATTGTCGAACAATTATTTTTCAGAAATGAGATCGAAGAAATCGGGTATTCTTAAGAGTATAATATGACGTAGTATTTAACAAGACTCGACTGTACAATAGATATAGCCCATGTTTAAGTCCCATTTTTTTCTTATCAAAATACATTCTTCAACAGTAATTTGACTTCATTTAAACTATACATTGTTCAATAAAACAATATTACAAGCAAATTTATGATTTTTATTTATTTTTTAATTATATATTTTTCATTAACACACTATTTTAAAATACATTTTTTATTACAAGAATGGAATTCAAACAAGGGCATAATGTTAATTCTTTATTCTATATTGTTGTGGGGCCCAGAACACAAATCCCAAAGAGCCCAATTGTTCCACAGCTTCCACTATACATGGCTTTCCAACAAAATTTAGTAAAGTATTATCATATTTGCACAAAGTGTATTTAGTCTTTGTTTGGCCTCGATTTATTTTTATTATATTACGTTTTATTTTGTTCTCTCGTATTTTTAACTACACAATTTTCCAGAAAATAATATTACACGTAAATTGAAAATTTTTCCTTCTTTCTCAACCACTTATTTTTCAAAAAAAAAAAAAAAAAACACCATTCCACCAATTTTCATATCCATAAAATGGGGGTCAAATTGGGGCTTATAAATTTGATTGACAAAATAAGTGTTGGCAAAATTTAAATCATTGATTTTCAATGATCTAAAAATCTATTTTTTGAAATGATTAATATAGATATTATTTTGTTAACCAATTTTGTACATATAACCTAACTCTTTCGTGAAAGTGATAAAGAATCATATTTCCTTCGACCGACCTTATCTTTTATTTCCCAATTGAATTCAATTTATTTCCTTTTTTGCATGTTACTTGTCTCCTTGCCCTTGGCATGATTTGAAATATCTTATTATAATCTTTGATTAGTTACCACATATATGACGTTCACATTATTTATCTTCATCTTACCTAGATTTTGCATCTATGAATTGTGCAAAGCACAAAAGTTAATGTTGACTTTACGTAGACCCAGTCGGCAGAGCTAAATTGCGATTAAATGGGGCCCACATTTTCATTTGGATTACAATTAAATAGAATAATGTTATTTGTAGTCTTTCATTATCGCAGTTACTCCACGTGACAAATATGTGACTGTTAGTACTCTAATCATATATACAAAAATATTTGACCAGGGTGTCCAAGCAGCGGCGGATCTATATATATATATATATATATATATTGTTAGTAATAGATTAAATTTTTACCTTATATTGTTGGCAATTGATTTTATTTTCAAACATTCTCTATAGCTTACTTGGTGAGAGTTGACCTTAATATATATCAAGTTTTAGGTTCGAATCTTTGTCAATGGATTTGTTATGTATTATTTTTCCTCTATAATTTTTACCAAAATTCAATAAGGAAGGGACAATGAGAATTTGAACCCATGATCTAAAGCAAGGGTGGTGGTAAATTTAACCATTATGATACCTTTTGAATTATGTTATTAAATTTAACAAAATAATATTTGTTAGTTTTTGATTGTTTTAATGCAAACAATTTTAAATATTCGAATTCATACTCTTTCTTTGAATTATACAAAACTTGGCAACAATCTTATTTGATGAATTCTATTTATTCTTATAACAGAATTATATATATTCATTTTGAACAAAATAATTGCTATATTTATACTTTAGGCCTTGTTCGATTCCCTCTTTTTTTAAATCTACGTTTTTCTTTCTTCTTTTCATCTATACATTCTTCAATAAAATAATATTACACGTAAATTCTAAATTTTTCTTTATTTTTAGTCACACATTCAAACGTTCTCCGTCAAATCACCATTCAAAAATGCATTTTATAATCTTGAAGATTGTATGCAAGTCAATCTTTTTTCAATCACCCCACAAAAAAGAAAACAAAAATAGATTGAAAACGAATCTACAACATATATCTTCGGTCATCCTTTTCTATGTTGTTTTCTTCATATAGTATGTTTGAAGTATTATTTTTTTCAAACATGCAATGACCGAATCTTGCTACAATTACAGAATTTGGTTCACAGAATTTATACAGGGAAGGTATGTGGCACTTTTTGATTGAAAGATGACCCAAAAAAAAAATATATACATGAATGTCTATAAAAATCCTGTACACTAAGAAGTATTCATCTTTATACATCCATGCGAGTGCAAAATAGGCCCCCACCCACATGCATAAAATCCCCATCAAACCATAGAATCCCTTCTCCTCTCTCTCTCTCTCTCTCTATCTCACATTCACACACACACAAGGGTCTCTATTGAAAATCACGGAGAAGATGAAGAAATCCCAAATTCTGAAGCTATTTTTAATATCAGCTCTTTGCATTATAACGCCTCTTCTATCCACATCTTTCAGATCTAAATATCTCTATTTCGTCGTCAACATTCTCATCATTGCAGTTGGAGCAGAATCTGGGCTTGCTTCTTTCTTCCTTAAATCTCCAGAAAACAAAAAACCTGCAGAGAAATCGACCACCAGCTCAAACGATGGGACTAATCTTCTAGATCATACTACGAACAAATCGGTTACGGTTTCCAAGAAATCTTCATCTGAGAAGATTGCTGATACAGTAAAGGTTTTAGACAAATCTCCTTCGACCCCGAGCCTATTTTTGACTGGAGGAGCAGACAGAGAAGATTGCAGTGAAGAAGACGATGTCGAAGATGATGGAGAAGAGGTTGTTGAGCTTAGTGAGCAGGAATTATATCATAAAGCTGAGACATTTATTGGAGACTTTTATAATCAGTTGAAGATGCAGAGGGATGAATCAATGTAGAAACTTAATGACATTTATCAAATGGCCTTCTGAATTCAATGTTTTTATTTTATTTTCTTTCTGTGAATTGGATAACATGCTTAATTTAGAAATAATTCATATTAGGAGTGGCAAATTTAGTATATGTGAAGGTTTCTTCTTGTACAGTACTGGTTTGATATTTGTGGTTAATTACTGGTTTACTGCTATCAATGCTGAAGGATTGTAGCCCTATTGAATGATAGGTAGAAAGGCTTGCATTTGATGTGAGCTTGCTATGGTCGAGTAGTTAGTATGTTTTGTGCTAACAAAAATATATTTCTCTCGATGTATATTAAGGTTAATTGTTAGGTTTTCTAGTAGAATCGAGTCGTTAGTATGTTTCGTGCAAATAAAAATGTATTTCTCTTTTTGTATATTAAGGTTAAATTTGTAGCATGGATGTAAGGCTCAAGATTATTAAAACTAGGCGTTTTTAAAATTTATCAATTGCTTTATCTAATTTAACATATTAAACAAGTCTAAAGTGATTGGATAGAATCACAAAAGTAATGGTCTCATGACTTGCACATTATCTTGAATGACATACACAATCCTTTGATAAAAATAAGCTAAAGTTTTATCAATTTTTCAACTACTTAAATTTTAATTTTAACCACACATTTCAATGGACACACAAACTGCACATTTCATCAAATTTTATCAAACTTTAACTTTTGTCGGCCCTCGATTTGTATTCCAATCTCCAAGTTTCATTTGAAAGCCAATGATGTAATTAATATATTAAAGCCGTATTTAGCCATCGTTTCGTCCCATTATTTCATATTATAATTTTTTTCTCTTATTTTCAACCTCAATCTTTCATAAAATAATATTACACGTAAATCAAAAACTATTCGAGCGCATTTGATTGCCAATATTTTTTATAGAAAATGTTATTTTTTCATCCAAATTCCTACTTTTATGCTGTTTGATTGATTTCTTTCCATGAAAAATATTTTCCTACTTTTGGTAATGTAAACATATTTTCCTTGAAAACAAGAAAAAATATTTTCTCTAGGGAGAGTAGATTTTCATTTTCTAGGTAATTCATTCTCTCTCATCTACCTGCCAATAAAAAATGACATATATAACATTTTATAAGTTGAAAATAAAATCAATCAAGCACATTTAATCGACAATTTTCATGCTTAGAATTTATTTTCTTTACATGTAAATTCCATACTTACAATCAAACACACCCTTCCTACTTTTACAACCACACGTTCTCCCAAAAAACGTCATTCCAAAAATTATAATACCAACTAATGGAGGCCAAACAGAGGAGTAGGGATTAAAATCTTTATTTTAATATAAATCAAAGTCAACAATTTATTTTAACCACATATTTCACGGAATACATTACTTTCAATCATACATTTTATCAATTTTTATCAAAATCTACTAAAAATCTAATTTTAATCTCTTCTGAATAGGAGCTAAATCCTTTTGAATATATTACGTGAAAGACATAAATGACTCGCTATTCATAAATTGTGGAATTCAGACCATAAATCCAATACCAATTTTTGGGTTGATATTAGTTCTGTGTGAAAATTGTATATGTTGATTAACAATATTAACTTCAGTCGAGCTCACCCAAAATCTAACCATACTTAATAGAGTTGTGTTCTATACTTTTTCTTTTGTTAGTTAGAATAATTGAATAGTGCATGAGAATTTTCTTAATTTTTAATTCTTTTTCATGTCATAAAATGGGGATTATTGTGCGAATATTCCTTTGAAATTGACAAAGGCTTTATCCTTTGGAGCGTTGTTCTTTTGATCACAAAAGGGAGGCCACCTTTAATCTTTTCTTGCGTGTGGTGGTGACTGAAAAACAGTGACATTTTTCATTTTTATTTATTTAGTTATTTTTGAATTTTAAATTTTGTGTAAATTGTAGCCTATGAGGGCCCATGGACCCATCCTTGTCTTGCTTTTTGTGTTTTCACAAAATGGCCTTTGGACTATTAAAGGGACAATTTTGGTTGCAGTACTATTAGTTGGGCTGAAACCCAAATATGGCCCTTTAATTTTGGGTTGACTTGTTGCAGCCCATATTTAGCTAAAAAAGTTTATTTATATAAATCTAAGTGAACGTCGAAAGTTAAATTGAAATATGATTTTATAGGATCCACAATTAACCACATATATCATCAATTTTTAACAAAATCTACTAAAATTTTAACTTTTAACAAATTCAAATAGTTAGTCTCGATTGTTAGTTGTGGACTGTAAAAGGAGGATTACTCAGGACAGGTTCAATGAATAATAAAGATGAAATAGTGTTGAATGGTTAGGACACCCCATCTTCAGAGATAAAGAAGAATGTGAACTATTAGTACGTCGACCCACTCAATCCATCTTTAGTTCAATTCAAGATGGCGTAGGACCTATTCATATGAAGGGTTAAGTTGAGTCAAAGCCCGTTTTTATTAAATTTATTTTGTGGTTTTACAAAATAAATGTCAATATAAGTCCTGACCTCTGCCAAGTTTTTTTTCTTCTTTTTCTTCTTTTTCTTTTTTTTTTAAATTATCAACGAGCCCAAATACTATATCAAAACTTTACACTTGCTTGGTTTATACCTCTCTCTTTCGAAATGTCAGACAACCTTTTACATCAATGGCTATTATTAAAGTGTGATTATATTTACTAATAATTCAATCACTAATTAAAAAAAATAAAATTGACTTTTTGGGGTAGTCTTACCCGAACTCAAATATCATCTTTAAAACCTTTCTTTTCCATATATAATTTTAATGCGGATTTTCCTGAAATTAGAATAGCTGGAAAAAAAAAGTTAAAGTATTAGTTCATATCTTGATAGGATCCAAGCTTCCCAAGCTTTATGCTATTGGGAACTCTGCAAGTATCTTACCCATCTTCTTGATTAATAGATTACATTTTAATATTTTAATATTAATTTTTTATAAGTCTTTCTAATATATTGAATCCCGTGGATGCGAGATCGTTGGGACATTTTTCTTCAATTATTTCCATATTAAAATAAAACGGAAAAACTAAAATATAATAAAGAGCAAATCAAGAAAGTGATGCGTAAGATAAAGTGATGTCCACTCAATTATACAAGTCATATTAAAAAGAGTAAAAATGCTGTTTTGCCTTGTTAAACAGTTAATTGATTGGTTGTATGCAGAATTAACCCATATTTATTGACCATTATTTGAAAAAATTAATAATATTTTGTATAGTAATTTTTAAGATAATATGTAGTTAAAAAGTAGGGAAAAGTTGTAAATTTCCGTACAAAATATTTTATTTCGTGAATGTATAGTTAAAAAATGAGCACATCGTAAAAAGAATTCTTAAATAATGGTTGTCAAGCAGGGACTTTGGAATATGTAATTAAAAAGATAATTAATTTTAATTAATCTTTAACTAAAAGCCAATATAGCATAATGCAACTTGTCTATGTTTCCAAAATTTTCTAACTTCGTTTTGTTCCTTAGTCTTGCATTGATTGTTACCATTTTTATATTTTAAATTATGTTATAAATGTAGCAATGACCATGTAGCTCTTTCTTGAAAATAAAGTTTCAATTTTTAGATTGAGAAATCCAATTTGTCGAATTCGAATCCCATCATGCATGCATTGCCAAAACTTTATAAGCTTTAACGAAAGAAAGAAAAGTAATATAAAATAAAATTTGGGTTCTTGGGTTAGGAGTTCAGCCTATGGGTAAGAAGTAGGACGAGCTCAATTCGCATTCGAGATGAGCAGCAAACACTAGTCAAGCAGTAACTTTTTCGAGCCACCTGTCAGCTCGTTGGTGAGCTCACAAATTTCCGTTCAAATTCATAAAAAAAAAAAAAAAAAGCCGAGCCCCACCAATGGACGAGTCGATCCGAGTCACACTTCAGTAAAGCAAGCCCGCTCATGTGGTGGGCTAAATCGAGCAACTTGTCTCGACCCATTTAACACCCCTAGTTCAATGTGAGTTTTGGCTTCTTCCATGCAAAATTGTATCCATGACATACATGATCTTTAACTAACTTGAAGAATCCGGGGTGTGGGGATGGAACAGTGCCTTCTAACTATTAATATTGTAGCTTTCAATATTAGTAGAAAATTATAATCAATAATTTATGGAATAACACTGGAAAATTAGAATTAAATTTTTGTCTGTCTCAATTAATGAATCTATCAAAATTCTTTCTAATTAGTCTTCTTCTGTTTCCTTAACAGGCCTTCTTCACATTGGTTTCATCGTTTCTTTAATTAATCTTACTTAAACCTTAATGAGAGTAAAATCCTATAAATTAGTTACTCACTTGGAGAATTCAGAATTTAAATGTTTGAAGTGAAGATCCTGGTTCTTATTTTACACATCGCACCAAATTATGTAACTTTTATCATCTTTTGGCTTCTGTACTTGAGGAGGTAAGGCACCAATGTCCCATTTCCCACCAAGTTTCTTCCATTTAACCTTAAAATGTGTGTTTGTGTTGGCTTTGATGAATAACATTACTCAAAGATAATCATCGGTAATGGTGTTCAAATGCAGCCTAGGTGGCAGTGGAGCCCACCCTTCAGAATTCGTGATTAAATTGTGGAGTGTGAGCTCTACTGTGACTTGGACTGGAACGTTGTTAAATGTAACATTGCTTGTAGGTAACTTCACTCGTTTTGAGCACCTCGTTGAAATTTTTTTATTATTTAAAAAGAATAAAATTGACATCTCATCAAATGATAGTATTTTATTACTTAAAAGAATTACAGGCTCAGCATGACAGTTTCTCAATTCTAGGAAGATGAAGGAGGAGCCTAAGAGGCTGATTTTTTGTGCCACTCCAATTATCTTATTACTTGTTCTCCCATCAATTTGTGTAAGTGTTGATTTCCTCTGGGCCAATACTATTCCTCTCAATCAATGTAATTCTTTCCTTTATATGTTTTTATTGTGCTTCAACCCGGGCTAACTTCAAATTCTTGAATATGATAGGGACAAATACTTTTCTAGTTTAGAAAATGATATCAGCAAAAGAGTACTTAATGGAATAGTCGAAGAGCTGGAGTCTTTGGAATTTCTTTTATCTAGATTAGTTAGAAGTTTGTGTCATTTTCTTGTCTCTTTGTTAGAATTTGGAAAAATATGTATCGAGTAAACTAAATTTTTGATGCATGTAAACATGAGAAGATCGAAGAAATCTTGAAGCAACTGGCTTTGCATGTGACAAGGTTGTTTATTCTGTTGTTTGTATTGCAAATAAGCAAGGAAGGATTGATACCAAAAACATGACAGCGTATGTTTTTTTTTTCATGGAATCGAGGAACAAGAAACTGTGGTTTGGCCTTATGCAAGACAGGAAGAAGATTAGATGGAAACACCCCGCCACTGGCTTGTCTATACAATCAGAATGTTCCCGCTATTACTTTCTCGTCTGTAGTCTAGGGACGAATCCAGCCGCTCGAGTGAGCTAGGACGGAGCGTCGAGCATTTATCAAACACCGTCCAATATAGCGATATTGTTTACTGATATTTAATTAATTTATATGAAAAGAATCTCCAATCAATATATAAATGCACTAAAATGTAAAAATAATATAAATATTAAAATATAATTATGTACAACTCAAAATAATAAGGAATAAAAATACATTTTTTTAATCATATACATATTATCAAGTTTCAAATTTCTATGAAGTTAAGCGAGACAATATGAAGTTTAAATGTAAAGTATTAGTTAATCGATAAAGACAAATTTAAAAACAATGAATTTTAGAGCTATTTTTGCCCCCAAAAAGAAATGTATTTTTCAAACTCTTAAAAGAACAAAGAATTTTACAAAATGAATTGATAAAACTTAACAATTAAAGTATATATTATGAAGTAATAATTTCAGTCAATAAATTTTTAAAGCAATTTTTATTCAAAAAAGAAATCTTTTTTCGAACTCTTAAAAGAATAAATATCAGTACTTAAATTGTCCAAATTTGAATTTTGTAAAATAAATTGATAAAATCTAATAATATATAATTGTTTAATTATTATTCATTGTGTTAAAAAAATTAAAAAGAAGAAGAGGAGGTGAAGGGAATAAAAAAAAAAAAGGGACTTCCCAATTGAGATACAAAACCATATCAGTGTAAATTAAAACAAAATACTATACTATTATTTAACTATTATTTATTGTGTTTGAAAAATTAAAAGAAGAATTGAAAAGGANAGTGTAAATTAAAACAAAATACTATACTATTATTTAACTATTATTTATTGTGTTTGAAAAATTAAAAGAAGAATTGAAAAGGATGGGAATCGAACCAGGTGCCTCTCACTTGCAAAACCAAAACCCTACCAAATGAGCTACAATCACATTTATCAAAAGAAGTACAATTTTAATTTTTAACATAATTGCTTCATTAACATGAAATTCCTTTCCCATTGGAGCCCGCACCTGGCCAGCACGAGCGGCCGCGCTGGCTCGCCAGGTGCTGGCTCCATCCCTCGTACCATGGGAAATGTCTTCAACCGAGCTATACTGTCAGAAAAAATTGACCAAAGCCTGAGCAACTCTCACAATAGAGGGTGAGTCCACTTTTTTCTTCCAATTGTTTATTCATGTGGAGCCCAGCCCTTCTGAGAGGCAATCAAAGCCTCTATCATCCTTTTTTTTTTTTTCTAAACACTTCAAATCCCGCGTGCTCTTCATCCTTGAGGATTTTGAGCCTTCATTTATGAGCAAATATGGCAAGGTTATGTCTCATTTGTCTGAGAACAAGGTTAAGAATCCGTCTGCAAATGGAAGTGTTCATTGCTTTCCAGGATGATCAGTAGCAGGGCTTAAGTACCATTACAACTTAGCTTTGAATTCGAGTGACATTCCAGGAGGGCATTCGATGCTTGAATTCAGACATTTTCTTAAGAGAAGCATATGGTCTGAGGTTCAGACATGTCAGTCCAATCAAAAGGGTGAGGTTAACGCTTTTGTCTCGTTGACTTACTAGAAGGTTTTTAAATGAAGACGATGGAAGAAATAGGCTTTCAAATCGAAATTGAACAAAATTTCTCGATTGATTAACTCGTGTAGTGTCTTGGTGGGAGCACAAAGAGCTGGACTTACGAATGAGTTGTACTTGCCTTCTGGTACAGTTAAATCCCAATATTTGGTTGAAGTTGACACGAAAGTCATTTTTCCACATTTATACTTAACCAAGTTTTTCTCAATCTTAAACCAATTTCCAATAGAATTACTTGGTACGGAATGACCCTCGACCACCTATTATGGGAATATTGCTCGTCCAATGGGTGTACATTACTTGAGGTATAAGATCGAGCCCGAGGAGAGCACACTTCTAAAATTGTGCGGAAGAAATCATTCGGTTGTCACTGATCACGGATGTGGCTACGGTGCAGCCCGGACAGTGTTTCTTGATCAGCAGAAAGCGAGGATCAGTCTTGTAAGGTTTAGAGACATTCGTTGAAGCACTTAGTCTTGTTACAGACTCGGATTTCTAAAGTTTTTACCACACAAACGGGTTACAAGTGAAAACAAAATTCTTCTCTTTATCGTATAGCTACTCGAAGTAACTGTATACGAGAGCTAAACTTAGGTTAGCTTTTTATGACCAATTCTTCCCTCTGGGCCGACCGCAGTGAAAATTTCAATCTTGAAATCGATATTGGTCACTTCAACTAAAAATTTTGCACGTTTAATGCCCATTATGAATGATAGATAACTATCCAAATCTTCTAGCAGATTGGCTTACGCTAGTCAACATATGTGAATATCAGATCAGTATACAGAATAAATATAAAGACAATTAAGTAGTTTTCAAACCGAAAAAAAAAATCAAAATTTCCAATTGGAAGAGAAAATTCAACGACGCCCTCAATTCATAATGCAACTTGTTTATGATTATACGGTCCTAATACATTTATCGATTGCTTTCTGATTATCTGATTTGAATTCCATCTTTTACAACTTTGAAGAGGTCAAAAACCAGACAGAAAAGATGAAATAAATAATAATATCAAACTGAGGCGGCTAAAAATTTCCGATGCAGCTATTCAAATCCTCAGTATTCTTTGTGAATCAACGAGCTTTACAATTATTAATCATCTTACCAGCATCAAAATATTCCTCTCTCTACCAAAAAATTCGGCTTATTCTATACAAAAATTTCGGGAATACATAAAAAATGTCAACCTTACCCGTATTTCTTTGTTCTTGAGATCTTGTTTATTTATTGAAACTCCAAGCTTTTCTTGGAAGTTTCTCTAACTCATGTTTTGGATAATGCTTTTTAATTTTACTTAATAAACATGAAATATCTTTTTGGCGTGAGGCGTGTTCATCTTCCTTCATCGTCATCTTAATTTTCATTTCACTATTCCATTCGATTTGTATTAGCAACCATCATTCAATGAAATAATTAATTCCCAAGGCAACAACTGAAATTGGCCAATAATGACTTTGACTTAAAATTTTATAGGATCCACAATTTTTCAATCACATATTCCATCAGCTTTTATCGAAATCTATTGAAATTTTATTTAACGGGCTAAATATCAACAACAATAGCGAGCAACGTCACGGATTAAACAATTTCTCCTTTCTTGTGTAAAAGCAATAAGAAACTAATCAAAGTGAGCAATGCAAACCCCCCCCCCCCGGGCCCCCCAGTTTTCGCATATATTAATTAGAGTTTTGCTATAGAAATAGGGTGAAATACAGGATTAAAAATAGGTTGCATATGTGTCAATACACGATTAGAAAAAAAAAAAAAAAAACAAAAACAAAAAGCAAGCTAACGACTGGCTGACGTATCAGCCCGTTTTTTATTCCGTATCTTGCCGCCTTTGTGTTTATCATTACACTATTAATTAACTCGGTCAAATTTTAACCAAGGTTTGATGTACCCTCTAGTACATGTGGTTGACTCCAAAATAGAAGTCCATGCGCATGACAAATAAATGATCCACGGGCATTAAATGCTTATTCGGGAGTGTTTTAATTAAAATTTAAGTAACAAAGTCCTACAAAATATGTAGATAAAAAGATATAAATGTGGTTTATAAAAGATATGTATAAAAATTGTGTTTGGCTGATTTAAATTATAATCTAAGATTTACCAAACAAACCTATTTTATCTAATAAGAGTGAACGTCACTTTATTCGGGAGGAAATACCTACATATAGCTTAAATATAAGAGTAGTTTGTAAGATTAGACCACAAAATATAATCATTTGAAAAATAGCCTTTGAACAATATTTTTTCCAAAAATACCCCTTATAGAGAATTTGCAACCAAAGCCACTACAATGTATAAAAACCTTCAATTAGGTCCTTAGAGAAATATAGATCATAAATTTTTAATAAATTTAAACCCAAATATTACAAAAAAATTTATTGATCTAAGAAATGCAACAAATAATGAATTAAATTATTCAAAAGAATATCTAAAAAGTTTCTTTACCGAATATTTAGATCCAAAATTAAAACATAAAAATGTTTATATAGATAAAGGACCAATCAAAATCAAAAATAATATACATAAAATAATTCTTAATCTGGAAAGAAGAATTAAAAAATTAAATATAATTATTGAAGAAAAAGTTTTAACAAAAGATAGTGAATTTTATAAATTCTATTGTGATATTTTAAATACTTATGAAGATTTTAATTGGCTCAAAAATCTTAACCCCTCCGCTGCTCACTCCGACGAGATGTTATCAGTTGCGTACATTAACCAACATGTATCCGGGAGGAACTCTATAAGGAAATACAGTAATTACTGACTCTCCACCCCCGGCTTGAAGTTCACGCTTCAATGACACTGATAGGTGCCTTTTTACTACTGTCAAGTCAAGGCCGTTTCTGTAAATCCGGACGGTAGTGGGTGTGTTCTGGGCACTCTGGTAAACATGGTATCGGAGCCATGTTACGAACCTAAAATTATGATCAACATGGTAGATGAAGAAAACATAATTGAAGAATTTTTGAAAAAAGTAGAAAAATATAAAAAACCTAGTTATCCCTATTTACCTAAAAATACCACAAAGGAAAGTTTTGAGGATATACATAAAAGATTAGAAAATTTAGAACATAAGATACAAGTAGAAAATGCTCTATTAGATAAAAATTTTAAAGGAAAAGATAGGATTATAATTAATCCACCTCAATATTTTAGAATAACTCAAAAAGAAAATAATAAAGGGAAAAAACATGAAAAAAATCAATATATGATTACAAATGTAGAAGAACTAGAACAAAATTTTTTTAAATCTACTGGTGAAGAGTATGATAAATATAAAAATAGTTAGAAGAATTAACTGAAAAAATGGAAAATACAAAGATGAATACTAATCCATCATCAAGTCGAAATATAAAAATAGAATTCAGTAGTGATGAAGAATATGATTATCCTTATGGTACTACAATACCACTTAAGGATGGTATTAATCAATATAAGAAAACACAGAAAAGATACACTTAAAAATATGAGAAAACAATCCATAAAATAAATAAATCCAATGAAATCTTATAATGAACCAATCCACACAACAGGAGTATGGTTAGATCTAGACTGTGTAGATAAAAATAAAGCTATAGAAACTTAGATGAAAAGTACAGATTTAGCAATACAATTTAATAAATGGGAAACATATACAGTTTTTGGATTTATAGAACATACATTCAGAGAAATTGTTTCTGAGTGGTGGAGAAAGTTACGAGAAACTATTAAAGGAAAAATAAAGTATGAAGAAAGTAGAACTGAAGTATTAGATAATAGTAGGGTTGGCAACGGTTCGGTTATAGGTCGGTTCGGCCAAAATCATAACCGCACCAGCAATTTTTTGACCATACCATAACCACACTATAACCACGTAAATCGGTTCGGTTCGTATCTCGATTCGGTTCGGTTAATAATCACGAAAATAAATTATTTTTTATATGTTTATCCGTTAAATTGATATAAAACAATTTATGAAAAAGTCAATGAAAACAAAAACACAATATTCTAAACGAAAAATGCAAATATTATCAAACAATATTTCAAACGAAAATGCAAACATTATCCCAATTTTCAATTGTAAAATACAAATTTAACAAACAATATTATAAATATAACAATACTATACTTTTCCCCACAAGTCTTACTAGTATAAATCAATACTCAAAGTTGATCCTATATAGTAAATAAGAAATGTAGGTAGAGAATACAACGATACTACCTAATCCAGAATTGTTTTAACTAAGATTTAAATAAAAAAAATGTACCTCTTCGTCAACTTCTTTCTCGCTAAACATAGCACAAGTTCTAGAGTATGATGAAGAAGTAGAATTTTCTACACACAATAGAAAAAACTAACAATAAAAGGAGTCATGCGTGAGTTTGTGGAGAGTAGGATTTGCATTTATATACTGTCATACTAATGCTATTATTATGGGCTAATGGTAAGTGAGTAAGTCGGCTGAGTCATGTAGATGTAATGTTGGGTGGGGTGGGGTGGAGTGGGGAGGGGAGATTTTTTTTGGGCTAAATAGAAAAGTAGTGTAAAGCCCAATAATCAATTCAATTTTTTTTTAGCGGATAATCGGTTCGGTTTCGGTTCGATGGCGTAAATACCATACCCGCATCGCCACGAATCGGTTCAGTAAAATAAAAACCATATCCGCCCCATTGCACCATCGGTTCGATTTTTTTTGCCCCATTCGATTTGGTTAACTGCGGTTTTCGATTTTGACGGTTCAAATTGCCATTCCTAGATAATAGGAATACTTTAAATGATCAAAATATACATGAGATATTAAAAAGGTTAAAAAAAATCTTAAGAACATAATTCTTAGGAGATAGATATGCTTCTAATGAAGAAGGAATAAAATAAGATGAATATAATGAAGGAATGATAGCAATGAAAAATTTAAAAATATGTGATATGTGTGAATTAGAAAGATACACACGTAAATTTGAAGAATTATACTATATATTAAACTAAGGAGATTATCAAGAAAATAAACCTATATTAAGGTCTTATTTTACTAAATTACCATTCCCATGGGGAATTAAGTTATTAAAAGAATATAAAAAATTATTACCTCTAGGAGAAAAGGATGGAGTAAAAATAGATAGTCTTGAAAGTAGAATTGAATTTACAAAAAGAATGATAGGCATGTGGTGTTGAAAAGCTCTTGAAAGTAAAAAAGCATATAAAATAAGAAAGAATTTCTTATGCTGTTACAAAGATATATGCCAAGTTGAACAATTTGGATGCCATAAGAAGAAATATAAATTATATAAGAAATATAAAAGAAATTTCAAAAACTACAAAAAATTTAAGAAGAGGAATTTTAAACTCACACAAAAAATATTTCAAGAAAAGAAATTGGAATAAAAAGCCTAAATCAAGAAATATTAAAAAATGTAGATGTTTTATTTGTAATGAAAAAGGACACATTGCCCCTCAATGTCCTAAAAAGAAAGATAGACAGAATATAAAAACTCTTAGAATTTATAAAAAATTCCAAGATGATAGTGATATAAAACCAATTGAATATTTTGAAAATCTAAGTAGTGAATGCAGTAGCATTTATAAATTAAATACATCCTCATCAGAGGAAGATTATGAAGAGATAGTATATATGAATCAGGAGATACAACAATCAGAAATAGAAGTAGAAACAATTGAAGGAGTTGAAGACTCTATAGAAGGTATAAATCAAGAAATTACCTTTGATATTAAAAAATACACAGGAATCACTAAGAAAATTTTAGACCTACAAGAAAAAAATGTATTCCATCAAGGATTCTTAGGAATATTACCAAGAGTAAATAAAACAATTGTAAGTATGAATTATAAAGAAACGTCTGTAAATATAGAAGATATTATAGGAAAAGTAAGGATTCCTATAATTACAAAAGAATGGGTAAAACAAAAGTTATCCAAAATTTCGGAGAACGTAAGAAACAAATTAAAATGTAATGAAATAGGAGGAGTCCAAATAATGGTAAAAGGATTCTTTAGAGAAGGTATGAATATACCAATTGAAATTTATTGCATGGACAACAGAATCTTACAAAATCCTATAGATGCCCTATTAGGAACAATCGTAGGAAACTTAATCTATCAGAAGATAATATTTACAGTAAAACCAAATTATGCAATATCATTAAATGATGAAAATATTGACCAAAGTTTCAATCTATATTATAGAATTGGAAACTTGAAAATGTTACAAAGAAGTAAGGCTATTAGTATAAGCAGAAAATCAATTTTTGCTTTTAGTATTAGCCATCATAACAATTTAAGAAAAATAAATGATAATATTATCATACATAAAGATTTTGAGGAATTAGCACAATATATACCTCCTAGGAAATATCAAGAACATGAAGTCACTATACCAGAATAAATAATGCTTGATTTCCATAAACAAGCTAAAGAAATTAATTTCGAAGGAAAACTAATAAGAAGAAATAGTGTCAGCCTAGAAGGAGATAATCTTATTGCAAGATTCCCCTCTAAACAAGACTATCAGATAAGCAAACTTAAGAATTTAAGTATTACTGAATTATTAAGTTCACAATATTACATTAAGACAAGATATGTGAATCAAGAAGGATACAAGAAGAATCTTCTTGTCCTCATAGATATCGGAGCAGATAAAAGTCATGTAAATGCTAAATTTGTTAGTCATTTAATAGATTTTGAAATACCAGAACCATATATATTTAAGGA